TCAAGCCTCGTGCCGCACGCTGCCTGTCGAGGGATTCGTTGTACTTCGTCTGCATTTTCAAAAAGATTTTTTAAATGCTACATACTTAGATTTTAAATGTTACTAAATAACAAAATATGATGTTACATACTTCGAAGTCAGCGAGGCGGGGTGGCAAATCGGCTTCAGATTCCTCGCCGTGCTTCGTCCAGCAATGCTTGACGAGCCGGAGAACATCAACCTTCTTCTTCTCAGGACCAGCCTAAATGGTGTGAAAAAGACTTAAATTAAATTTTTTATAATAAAGGAATGTGATGTTGTAAGGTTTTTTGAATAGCACTTACAAGAGTTTCTTTATGGGCATTCTGAGATTTACGACCTCCGTGCCACTGCATCTCCAAGGCCTTCTCGGACATCCGGTTTTTCTTACCGGATTCACTTCTGGCCAAGAATTTCGGATCAGAAGACCAGTGGCGACAAAGGTTGGACCACACTTCATCCGAAACCCATCTAGGCTTTTTCCCACTTTTTCGCGCCCGTTTAAAAGTGGCGCGAAGCCAGGTCGAAATCCTAGCATTGTAGGCTTTAAGAATATCGGCACCGTGTGCGTGAGTCCAACGATAGCGAGCCTTTATTAAAACAAATTGGATTAATTAATCACCAGGTATATATTAGGCCAATACAATCAGGAAGGGAACATTCATTTATTTTTACCTTGAACAGGTTCCACCATAGTTCGCGAACCTTGGGGTCAACATCTGACAGTGTGGCCCAAGTGCCAAGAAAGTGTCCTCCGATGATGTTTTTGATGCCCGTGAACACTTGTTCGTCACTTAAAAAAATTAATAGTATTTATTTATATAAGATTTGGTTTGATTATTTAACATTATATAAAATTATTGAAAATAAGGTTTTTCATAACTGCTTACAAAAGAACTTCTGCAGGCGTCACCCAAACAGCTCCATCATTGTTGCGCTCCGCTTCGGACATAGGCGCATGGTTAGGGCGGGGAGCCGAGGTCGATTGTTCGTTGCTCATCTAAAATATATTAATTTATTTTGTTTTTTGTTAGAACGCTTATAAAAGTTTGAGGTGTGCTTACTAAAGGTCCATTAAAGTTTGGGGTATATTTATTATTTTTTACTATAAAAATTTATACAAGTATTATTAATTGAAAATGTGTATAGCATATTAAACTATTTTTAGTTTAATATGAGGGGTCCATATTTTTTCATAATAAGTTCTTAAATAATTTGGTAATAAATTGCACTTGGAGGTAACATGTTAAACTTTTTGCAAAGTTTACATGAGAGGAGATCATTTTTTTATGTTTTAGATATATCATTTTAAAATAAATTTAAAACAGTTTGTTAAATCAAGTTTTACAAAAAACTATTTTTAAAAATAATCTGTTTAATAAAAGAGTTTTTAAAACAGTTGTTATTAAAACAGTTTTTACTAAAACAATTTTTATTAAAACAGTTTTTATAAAAACAGTTATTATAAATACAGTTTTTATAAAAACACTTTATATTAAAACAGTTTTTATAAATACTGTTTTTTAATAAATACAGTTATTATAAATACAGTTTTTATAAAAACAGTTATTATAAATACAGTTTTTATAAATACTGTTTTACAAAAATCTGTTTAATAAAACATTTTATATAAAACAGTTTGTATATATCAATTTTTGTAAAACCGGTTTTTTTAGATAAATTATAAAAACAGTTTATATTAAAACAGTTTGTATAAAAACAGTTTTTATTAAAAACAGTTTTTATAAAAACAGTTTTTATTAGATTAATTTTAAAAACAGTTTATATAAAAACAGTTTGTATAAAAACAGTTTTTATAAACACAGTTTTAATAAAAACAGTTTTCATAAAAACACTTTTTATTAAAACAGTTTTTATAAAAACTGTTTTTTACAAAAATCTGTTTAATAAAACATTTTATATAAAACAGTTTATATATATCAATTTTTGTAAAAACAGTTTTTTTAGATAAATTATAAAAACAGTTTATATTAAAACAGTTTGTATAAAAACAGTTTTTATAAACACAGTTTTTATAAAAACACTTTTTATTAAAACAGTTTTTACAAAAATTTGTTTTTGTAAAATTTGTTTTTATAAAATTTGTTTATAAAAATTTGTAAAATTAGAATTAAACATGTTAAGTTTGTGAAAGCTTAACATGAGGGGGCAATTTTTTTTTTAATATTTCGGGTTAACCATTGAGAGGCATGCATATCACACACTAATCATATATATTAAATATTATTAATCATGCATAAGAACATATACTACACATATAATAATTTAAATCATTTAAACATAATTATCATGCATACAAAACATATAAATCATATCATGCATATGAAACATATAAACTAAAACAGTGTTTTGCCAAGTTTTTTTTGCATACGAAAAAATCTACATATATTAACATATAAATAATCTACATTTAACATATATTAATCATGCATATGAAACATATAAAATGAAATTAACATGCAAAACTACAAATCATGCATATAATAAATCATACATATAACTTTTGAAGATTACAAAATGATATGAAACTAAAATTCGTGCATCTTATCATGCATTTGAGTATACAATCATGCATTTTTGGAATTTTAATCAAATATTGGAATTTTAATCAAATAAGATGAACAAACACATAACCTTGACTGAAGAAGGGCCGACGGAAGAAGGTGGACGAAGGCGGCCGGAGGACGACGGCGGACGGCTAGGCGTTGACGGCGGCAGCTAGGCGGCGACGGCGGACAGCTAGGCGGCTGACGGCGGACGGCTAGGCGGCGGCGGCACTGTCTAAACTGGAAGAGAGGGAAGAGAGAAGGAAGAGGAAGTTAGGGTTTGGGAGTTGGGTGCATAGGTTTTTAAAAAAAACGCTAAGTGTTCGTTTTATATAAGGGTTTAGTCACGGTCATAGTCACGGTCCGGACCGTGACTAAACCCTTCGTAATTGACGATGTCAGTGCCGACGGTCAGAGTCGCCATTAATCAGAATAGTCACGGTCAGAACCGTGACTATGACCGTGACTATTTTCAAAATTTGAAAATAGTCACGGTCATAGTCACGGTTCTGACCGTGACTATTATTGTCAGCGCCACTCTGACCGGCGGACTGACTTCGGCATTTACGAAGGGTTTAGTCACGGTCCTGACCGTGACTAAGACCGTGACAACTTGAAATTTTTTAGTATAAATAATCTTTCTCCGGCCCAAGACTGAACTGTAAAAAAAAATGGCTAATAGAGGTCCAATTGACTGGGATTCGATGTGTAGAGATATGAAACGACTTAAGCTGATTACAGAGCTTATGGAGCCGAAAACCGTGGAAGCATACGAGAGAATCAAGGAGTTGATGTCTAGACCCCTTGAAAGTTTTGGCGATTATAAAGATGAAGAATCCGACTCGTTGGGCAAGTCAAAAGCAAGAAATTTGTGTCGGATGCTTCAACGTGCACAAGAAGTTTCAGAGTATATGGACCCGATCAACGAAGAAGCTCGAATGAAAATTCAGGAGTTGTGGGCTAGGCCTCTTGAAAGTTTCCGATTGAGGAATGAATAATGTTAGTTAGGCTAATGTAATAAATAAATCTATGTTAGTTGTTTAATAAATAATATGTGACAATTTCATTGTGTGTTTTGTATTTATCTTTGAAATTTGATAAATAAATATCTGTTAGTTGTTTATTAATATCTAAATTTATTATAATATTCAGATTAGTAAAAGTAGATTACTGTTTTTTTAATTTTCGAATTTTGTTAATTTTCGAATAGACTTAGAATTATTAAAATTAATTTTCGAATGTCGAATTATTAAAAATTATTAAAATAAATTTTCGAATTTAGAAAAATCAAAAATAATATTTGAATTTTCGAATTTGAAAATAAAAGAATATAATATAGAGTAATTTCATATTTTGTATTGGGTAAATTTTAATTTTCAAACTTTGAATTGTGAAAAATTTTATTTTGAATTTATAATATGGATATAAAAAACTTGTTGTGGTTGAATTAATATGGAGTAATTTTTTGTTCATAAATAATAATGATAAAGATAGAAAAAAATTCAAATATTGTTGGAGTAATATAATGATGAAGAAATCTGCACAAATATTAGAAGTCAATAAAATTGAAATTACAACAGCACAATTATTCGCTATCAGAATCGTCATTTTCTACATATACAGTATCTTCTTCTGTATCTGAACCGTCTATCCATTCACCTTCTTCCTGATATTGAGCATTTTGTTGTGCTACATACATTTCCTCAATTTCGCGCTCAGATGGAATGGTTGGGTCCGGAAGGTGCGTTTCTGGCATGACTTCAACACGTCCGCCATTTGGATCACTTAATTGGAGGTTATAGTTGACCGTCTCAACAATAGGCGGAGGTTGGAAAAATTGTTGCTGAAAAGCATCTAGATCAACGTCCTTGTGTTGAGTTTGTGATTTTATTTTGTTCGGACGGACAGGACATGCACACACCCAAGGATTCTGTGTCCGCCTTGTTGAAGGATATTCTGCATAATAAATCTGCGCTGCTTGTTGGGCGAGTATGAAAGGCTCATTTTTTGGGTACACACGAGAGAGGTTGACGTCAATCATATTATACTTCGGATTTTTGCGCACGCCACGTGTGGGGTCGACCCATGTGCAACGGAACAGAACGCATGTCAATTTTTTCGCACAAGAAGGCATCTCAAGTTCCAGAATCTCCTGCAGGACACCAAAAAAACTGGTTTCCGAGTTATCATAACCGATGGTCGGGACACATAACCCGCTGTTCGTTGTTGGTCGGCCCTCTCCGTAATCGGCTGTGTGATATGTGTAACCGTTTATCACATATTGCCGCCACACTTTGGCACTGGCACCTGGGCCCCACGCTAATGATACTAACAAAGGGTCGACAATCCCACGACTATTGATCTGTAAATATAAACATAATAATAACATTAGGTAAACATTAGGTAATATATATAATTAATGTGTGTGTATATATACCTGATACTTGTACCAATTTACAAAATCAGAGTCCACCAACGCATCTATTTCATTCTCAGGAAAGGCTGATAAAGAAGCTCGGAATTCACTGTGAAGTCAAAAATAAAAAAAAAACTATAAATTAACTACAAATTTAATTTATAAGTATTACAATTATAACTACAAATTTAACTTACTGATAAAACGGTGAGATTTCTGGACAATTCATGAGGATATAAGTATGCGCAATTTGCAATTCCCCACCCAGGATGTATCGTTGTGTCGCAGCACCTTTACCTCTGCCTGGGTAATTGAAGATGGAAACTACATTTTCATATAAATCCTCGCCAATGTCATCGTTCCGGGCAGGTCTCTTCCTTCTGGTGATGACTTCACGCTCGAAGTAAAAAGACGAGAACGTTGAGATTTCTTGTTGAAGATACGCTTGACAAATTGAAGCCTCAACGTGTGCCTTGTTGGTCACTTTCTTTTTCAGCTCTCCTAGAAATCTGCAATAATGCAATAACAGCACAATTAATAGTTATTGTGAAATAAATAATCTTTTTTTAAATGAAATTGTGACTAACCTTTCAAATCTGTACATCCACCGATAGAAGACGGGCCCAGCAGTCAAAGCCTCATACGGAAGATGTATAATGAGATGTTCCATTGTATCGAAAAACGATGGTGGCATTATTTTTTCCAGATTACACATCAGAATGGGAACAGACTCTTGTAGTCTCCGGAGGGATGCCGCATCCAAAACGCTGGAACATATCGATTGAAACAACAAACTGATTTCAGTAATGCAGGACCATACGTGTTCAGGGAGCATCTCTTTTAGTGCAATTGGTAGAAGTCTTTGCATTATTACATGAGCATCGTGAGTTTTCATGCTCGTCGTCGTGGTAAGTTTGTTCATGTCTACGCATCTAGACAAGTTGGAGCAGTAGCCATCTGGAAACTTCTGAGACGCAAGCCATTTTAATATTGCTGCCTTTTGTGGTTCTGTGACCTGGTAGACTGCTTTTGGAACTTCCTTGCCCTGATATTCTAGATCAACAGAAAGTTCGGGTCTATCACACCAAATAGTCATATCTTTCCTAGCTGCAAGACCGTCTTTAGTTTTGCCTTTCAAATCCATCACCGTGTTAAATATATTGTCAAAGACGTTCTTCTCGGTGTGCATGACATCTAAATTGTGACGGATGAGAAGGTTTTTCCAATAAGGCAACTCCCAGAATATGCTCCTCTTTGTCCACTTATGGGTATCACAATACCCATATGGCTCTTGGTTTGGCTCTTCCATAGCCGTAGGGAAACGTCGAACCCGGTTATAAATTTCTTCACCGGTCAATCTCGGGGGTGGGCTCTCTCGAACCGCTCTGCCTCTAATGAAAGACTTCTTGTCCTTTCGATATCGGTGCCTTTCCGGGAGAAACTTGCGGTGACAATCAAAGTAACTTCCTTTTTTGCTGTAACTGAGCCAGTTGGCACCTGATTTCTCCATGCATATCGGACATCCCATCAGACCGTGTGTGCTCCATCCCGAAAGCATGCCATAGGCAGGGAAGTCGCTAATGGTCCAAATGATGGCAGCTTTCATGATAAACATTTTATCTGATGAAACATCATAAGTTGGTGTCCCAACGGCCCACAGTTCTTTCATCTCCTCGATAAGGGGTTGGAGATAAATGTCTATCTTTCGCCCAGGATCCTTGGAACCCGGACAAATTAAAGACAAAAAGATGAAATGACTTTTCATGCACATGTCGGGAGGGAGATTGTAAGGTGTTAACATGACCGGCCAACATGAATAGTTCTTGCCAAACCTGCCAAAAGGAGCAAATCCATCTGAGCACAATCCCAGCCGCACATTTCGTGGCTCCATAGCAAACTGAGGATGACAGCGGTCAAAGTGTCTCCAGGCTTCACAGTCCGAAGGGTGAGCCATCATACCCTCGTTGGTTTCGTGCTCAACATGCCATGTCATGTGTTTCGCAGTAGCAGTCGAAGCGTACATCCTTTGCAGTCGAGGAGCTATTGGGAGGTAATACAGTTTAGACAGTGCAGACCTATGTCGTGGTTTCTTTTTATTTTGACGAACAGGTTTGTATCTGTCTCCACCACAGAACTTGCAGAACTCAAGTGCCTCATCCTCCTTCCAGAACAACATACATCCTTCCGGGCACGCATCAATTTCAACACAAGGTAGCCCCAACTTAGACATTAACTGCTTCATGTGGTAATATGAATCGGGAAGGGTATGATCTCGCGGTAGCATCCCTCCTACTGACTGCAAGACTCTATTCATGCAAGTTTCAGGGAGACTGTATTCGGCTTTTATGTTCATGAACTCAGTAACAGCGGATAGCTGAGAGTATCCCTCACAATCAGCATACAGAGGTTGGTCGACAGCTTTTAGAACATCCTGAAATCTCTCAGCCAAACCTTCATCCACATAAGGTTGATAAAATGTCGGATTTTCATCCGCATCTGGTTGATACGAGGTTGAGGCTTCAGGGGGGTCGTTAGGTGGTTGTGGGGGGTTGAATTGAGACGGTACACCGTATGCGTCATATACCATTTGTTGGTCCCACCTCATTTCAGCACGGTCTCCCCACGCACTCATCTCTGGAGGGACGTAACGAGACGAACCTACCGTTTGTGGTATAACAGATGGATCCAAAGGTTCGCCGTGAGAAGTCCAATTATAATAATTGGGAACAAAACCGACCGCGTACAAATCATACCCAACTTCGTGTGGGTCTTTAAATTTGAGATTTTTACACTTTGAACATGGACATCTTATTTTATCACCACTCATATAAGCCGGATGTTCAAGTGCAAATTCAATAAATTCTCCGACTCCCTCGAGAAAATTTGATTGCATTCCGTACAATACCGCATCTTTATCATACATCCAACTTCTATTTTTTTTATACATTATGCCTGAATATTATAATAAAAAATTAGATGAAATGCAATGCACACAATTTTAAGTAATTTATTTCACTAAATATAATCAACTAATTTTCACTTTTTTTAAATGAAATGCACAGAATTCACATCTTAGTTATGCACAATATATATGTCCCCTAATGCACAATAATGCAGATAATTTCACTATATTAAACATACGTTTAATTAAATCTAACTAATTCATTTAGTTAAATTTAACTAAATTTAACTAGTTCATTCCGTCCCCTTTTAATGCATCACTACGTTTAAACTTACGTTTAGCTACCTAATTTAACTTAATTAACACATCAATAGCTACGTTCAAACCTACGTTTAGCAAACGAATTTTAATTAAATTATTTTTGTAAACCTACGTTTAAACCTACACTAAATTATTACGTTAATGACATTTAATCTTATTAGTAATACACAATTAACAATTCACTAAATTAAATAATATGACCAAATTCAACCCAATAATATAACAATTCACTAAAGTTTAACTAATTCTAATTTATGACATTACTACGCTTATAGTTAAAACATGTTGTTAATTAATTAACAACCTCACTAATTTAATAGTTTTAATAATTTAAATTGAACCAACTAATTCTAAATAAAAATTATAATTCAAATAACATACCTTATCTGCATAAACAGGGAAAATGATAGAAGATAGACTACATCCTTCGATCTACGGATACTGTATATACTGGGAATGAATTGGTGTGGTTCTGTTGAATGAATGAGCTGCTCCTGCATATATAAAAAATTTAGTCACGGACTTAGTCACGGATTTGTCCGTCACTAAGCAAAACCGTGTCCAACACGCGTCCAACACGTGTTAATTACGTGTAAATGACGTGTTAATCAACATAGTCACGGAACTAGTCACGGATATGGCCGTGACTACAATTATCCGTACATAATGCCGTTGCGAATTAACCAAGGGAGTTGAAAAAAATTAAATTTTAATTATAGTCACGGGCATAGTCACGGATTTGGCCGTGACTAAATCATCGGAATCAAAAAAACTGCGCCGGAAACGGGAATTGGCCTATCGGAGAAATTAAGTCACGGTCATGGACCGTGACTAATGTTAGTCACGGTCATAGTCACGGCCCTGACCGTGACTATTTTTTTTTTTAAAAATTCCGTGACAAATCCGTGACTAGACCGTGACTAAACTAGTCACGGACGAAATCCGTGACTAAAATCCGTGACTATAACGCTGTTTTTTTGTAGTGTGAGTATTATCAAATTGACACTTTTTGTTCTCTCATTATGATTTAGACACATTTAGTGGAAGACTAAAAATGTCACTATCATAATAGTTGAATGACCAAAAGTGTCACTTTTATGAGAGTCAAAAATTAAATGTGGAAATTTTCATAGATGGGTATCAAAAGTGTCTATAGCGTCAGTGGCGTATCCACTATGGGGGCAGCGGGGGCAGCTGCCCCCACTCAACCCCAACCCAACCCCTATATATATGTCCAAATTTTTACAAGAAAATGCTCAAAAATAAGAGTTAAATGTAGAAAAAAAATTCTAAAATAGGATTAAAAGTGTTTTCTTTAATATTAAAAGAATGAAAGGATGAAAAATTCACTAAATTTTTGTTATATTTAACTTATATTTAGGTAATTTTATTACATTTTATCTGCAATTACATCTTGACACACCCGTAATATAAATTAATCTTCTTTTTATTCATACTTGTACATAGATATCATAAACTAAATTTAATCAAACAATATTGTGATTTGTTATTTGTGAAATATGAGACTAAATTGTAGTCAAGTTTGCCCCCACTCGCCAAATTTCCTGGATACGCCACTGTATAGCGTAATAGTCGAGGACTAAAAATGGAAAAGATCAAAGTTGAGTACCAAAAGTGTCAATGACATAATAGTCGGAGGACCAAAAGTGCGAATGACAGACGATTCTTTATGTGTATATAGACAATTCCGTCTGCGTAGACAGACACAGTGTGCGAATGAGGTATAGAAAATGGGATACCCCTAACATTTCTGGACATCCATTTCTAAAAGTCCTTTGGGACCGGCTAATAATTATATAGGTGAAATTTCAGCTCAAGTCATTGTTTTATTTGTATAGAATTTAATTTGAAGACGCTCTATTGTAACACCCTTTTTTCATCCGAACTTGTTTTTTTACTTAAATTGATTAAGAAGAAAATTGGTTACAATGACTACGTGTCTAGTTGAGATTTGATCAGACTTGAACATAATTAGATCAGATGGGAAATATACTTAATTATCATAATAGAACATAGGGACCAAATAAAAAATATCTTTGTTACGAATTGAATATACTTAACCTAAAGAGTGAATTAGAGATATACCGATAGTATAACACAAGACCTTAATACATTAATTGGACCAGAACACCTTACGAATTGCATTTTGATTGATTTTGATTAAGCGTAGTAAAATACAGCCCATATCCTTCTAGGATGATTACATTTTGATTGACGTCCATTTAATTTTGGATTTTTTCCTTCTTCTAATGTTGCAGACTTGTATCAATTTGTGGTACTCAATCCCTAGCCGATGTACATATATACGAATTGAAGTATTTTATAGTTATGTGTACATATAACTTTCATGTAAAAACAAATACACCACATATCGGAAACCCTCGTAACTAGATTAGAAGAAAGTTGGTTAAAATGCATGGTTAAATTGAGCTATAACTTCATGAGAAAGTGGTTAAAAAGAAAGTTGGTTAAAATGCATGGTTAAAGTGAGCTATAACTTCGTGAGAAAATGGTTAAAATGGTACATGAAGTTGTTTCGACGAGATTAAGTAGTACTTCATCTTGCATT